GCGATACCGTCTAGATCCAGGTCACATCATTCAGGTTGAAGAGGTAGAGTTGAGACTTGATTTATCCTATGAGGAAGAGCCCATTCAGATCTTAGAAAGGGATGAGCGAGTTCTTCGGAATAGGCGTATCCCAATGGTCAAAGTTCAATGGAGTAATCGAGGCCCCTCAGAAGCTACTTGGGAGACATTGGAGTCAATGGAGGCTCAGTTTCCTTAGTTATTTTCATAAGGTAAATTTCGAGGACGAAATTTCTTTTAGAGGGGGAGAATTGTCACACTCTGCCCCATAATTTTCCACTAGAAAATAAATATATATATATATCTAATAGCACTATAGATAAAATAATAAGCACTATAAATAAAATAATAAGCACTATAAATAAAATAATAAACACAATAAATATTATAATAGCACTAAGAATAAAATAAAATGAAGTGGAGACAAAGGCATACTCACTATGCCATGTTTATTTTTTTATTGGAAACAAATAATGGTGGGTTTATATTATATTAGGAGTTAACACATAAATTCTACAAAAATACCATCCCGTGCAGAACCCAAAACTGAATTTTTTAGTAAACTCACTCTTGAACATTCGGCATGCCTCCTTCGATCGGTGGTGTGGTGCACTGTCGTGTCCTTCAGTCTCAACAGAAACCATCGGTACAACCCCGACTAACCCAGTTCCAAAATCTGTCATAGATAGACTGAATCGACAAGGGAAATCGACACTTAAAACCTCGATCGTCGTTTTAAGTTTTGTCGATTCTGGCCATTCCAACAACTGTCTTGTTTCGTTCATCAACCGTAGGTAAAGTCAGATCGTTTAATTTGGATAACATTTCAGTGTTTAGATTGAAAACATATTATAGTTGGTGTTGGTTTAGATTGCTGATAAATAGTTTTAAAAGAGTGATAAATACGTAATTAATTTCGGTTATGGTGTTATTTTCGTAATTATTTTTAAAAGTGTGTTATTTTCGTATTTATTTTTAAAAAGGGTGTTATTTTCGTAATTAATTTTAAAACGGTGATATTTTGGCAATTATTATTAAAACGGTGATATTTTGGTAATTATTGTTAAAACAGTGTTATTTTGGTAATTATTGTTAAAACAATGCTATTTTGGTAATTATTGTTAAAACGTTGCTATTTTGGTAATTATTGTTAAAGCGGTGATATTTTGGTAATTATTGTTAAAAACAGTGATATTTTGGTAATTATTTAAAAAAAAATTCTGTAATTTTTATTGTAGACTATTGAACCCTTTGACCATAACTTTGACCGGTTTTAAACGACCATTAAACGACATTTGATTTTGTTCGAGTATACCTATTCTGACATTTTTCGATGTGTCGAATCCGTTTCCGAAGTCCGTTTCGCCAAATTCAAAATCGAAGGTCTCCAAATTGATAGTCAAACCCAAAAAAGTGCATATGTATTTAAGAGTTTTAGCTTTGAATGATTAAGTAAGACTTGAGACTGATAAATTATTATTATTTGAAGGTACAAGAGACTATCCTGATCGCTCAACAGCTCGACCCAACTCCTCTAAATCAGTTAAACCGCGTGTGCCAGTATTTACCCGTATGACCCGTAAATCTTATAATTTCAGAAATTGATTATGTTACCCTTTAGTAATGTAGTATTATTATGAATTAGGTTCGAAAACTGTAGCAGAGCGTGGCGAGGCCAGTACTCAGTAGATCTACAGTTTAATCCTATTATCGAGGTGTGTTCCCTAAGTACTATTTAATTGTTTTATCTGTTTTAAAATATGGTACATTGAAAGCTATGATTTATTGTTTATGGATGGTTTATGGACAATGATTAATATATGACTATTGGTTTTCATTAATATATGATAACGATGTTTACTGATTTATGGAAATTATGCTTACTGCATAAATAGTATTTTTGAAATACTGATTTTGGGTTGGATTGAATTACGGAGGTATAGCTCTGATCAAGCTGGTAAACCTTACAGACTTAATGGACTCTTGGGTAGGCTCACGAGCCCCAAGATGCTCTATTAGGTTGGCCCTCTTTGCTGTGTGCTTAGAGTAAGCCCTACGGACCTAAGGATACAGGCCCAAAAGCTTATCCTTAGGTAGGCTTCCTTTTTGCTATGTGCTTAAGGTAGCCATAAGGACGCAGTTCTGGGGAACTGCGGTTGGTGTACAGGAGAAGGGATTTAAACTACGAGTTTCAAAAGTTAAACTTCATTATGATTTTATGATGATTTACTGAACTATTACTCGGTTATTGTACCTACTATGATTTTATTGTACTATTGGGACACACTGAGCCTAGCTCACATTTCGAAAATGTTTTCCCCTTTCAGATACTGTTGGTTAGATACCCCAAATCGAGCACTTGGAGAATCAACATATATCTTGAAGTACATCTATTTGTAATGCTTTTATATTTCAAGTTGACTTTATTTTGGTAACATTGACCTTTATTTGAAGTATTTGTTTCAGAAATGAATATTATTCTGCTATTGATAATTGGTTTATAGTGATCCAAATTCTACGACATGTTTTAAAAATTAAATTTTTAACTATTTAGTTTTATATTCATGAGTTAGGTTTTATCGTAATTTATTATATCATTTTATAAATGTATTTATAATGTGATTTTACATTGATCGAATAAGGGTTTCGAAAAATGTCTTTAAAAATCATGGATGTGATCCGCTAGACTTAATCAAAACGCATAGGCTGGATCTAGGGGGTTACACGTGACAACACAAAATTGTACTTCATGTTAATAATGATGTCAAAAAGTATGTTTTTTTTTCTAATTTTAAGATTTATAAGAAAATATTAGAAGTATCAAAATCGTCGTATCTTAAATTTGGGGGTTAAATTAAAAGTTGTAATTGAACTTTGATCAATATGTAAATTTTCAAAAGTGTAGAGACTTGTGCTTGATCAACCCAAAATTTTGGGGTATACTTCTGTTTCCTTTTTTTCCCCAATTGGTTCTAAAAAAGAATAGAAACTACCGTTTATAACAGTCCTATTTTCGGGTTTTATGAAAAACCTCATCTTCGACATTCATCGCAATGAATCAAGGTGAGTGATCCACACGCTTTAAAATACAAAACTAGAAAAAATTGTGCAATTCCGACCACAAGAGGTTGCCCCATGCGCCACACGCACCGTCTTTGCGCGTTTGGGAATTGTTTTTCCTGCAAACCAGTCAAATCAGTTAAGAGGGGTGAACCAATTTGATTGAACCGATCTTGAATTAATCTAACCGAACCGATTTTGAACCACTATTGAATCAAATCTGAACTATTGACCGTTGAATTTTTTTTATTCACCCTTACCCTCATGTTTTCGATGTCCTAAATATGTTTTCGCATATCGTTTTGTCAACTCAAAAGTTTTATTTTGCATCTTTTAGTGTGATATGTCATAATTATGTTAAGTAAATTTTAAAAAATTAAACACTTACTCTCTAGTGAAGTGTTCTGAAGGTGATCACATGTCCTTGTATTATTCTCCAGTATATTTGGGTCATCTCCGTTAGGCTCAGCTCCATTCTATACGTTTGACTTTAGATATATTATTTTGACACTCACACGGTACTATGTTATTATTATGTTCTCATTCCGCAGGACTTAATATTACTACTGTAGGAAGCGTATCGCTTAGCTAGTATCATTTAACTGGTATAGATGTATTCCTTGATTTGTATTGCATGTTTTTTTTCGTTCCATGGGTTGTTTTTCTGTTATTTATATATATCACACTAGCATATATGATTTCTGATTAATGTTGTATTATGTATGATCTTTTGGTTGGTATAAATTTTTGTATTGAGACTATCTACGAAGGTCTTGGATCTTTCTTCGGAGGGTAACATTCTCATCCTGATTTATTTTTTTGTTTTAGGTTCCTTTTCGGTGGATAACATCCTCATCTTGTTTATCTGCGGTAAAAGATAAAGTTACAAGAACTTCTGTTAAAATACTCTGATGGTGAACAATTGATTTTGTTTCAAGTTGATACTATAATTAGACACACTCTCTTAAGTACCTAAAAATATTTTCTCCCAGATTGATAATCAAATTTTAACTTTGTCCATTGTTTTGGTACTTTTATTAATTTCATTTATAAACTTTAAAAAGCACATGGCAACATCATCATTGACAAGCAATATAATCTTATATTGTCATGTTATCAAAATTTAATATATTTAATAAAAAATAATAAAATATTATATATAATTAAAGTTTAGGTACCGACAGCATAATAATAATAATAAACATTTAAGTACTAATTTAAGAGAAGATACCAAATTGATCAACTATTAACTTGGAAGTAAAAAAAATTAGATGCTAACTTGAAAATATACCTAATTCAGGTATGAAATGTATCTATTTAAGCCTTGCTAGAATAATAAAAAAAGACTTGTAATTTCTTAAGATATACAATGAAAAAATATCAAGTCAATAATCTATATAACTTATTTCAAGTGAAAGAATTATATAACAAAATATATTTATATATATATATAACTTTAGTTTTACACCTTTTTATGATTGTTGGAGACGATGGAAAAGATCTCTTTGTTTTTTCTTTTTGGTTTGTGATTCTCTTCTTATTTTCTATTATTTTCAACTGCTAATCTTAAATATATATTTTTATCATCCAATAATTATAAACTTGTGTAAAACTACACGATGTGAATGGATATGCATCATATAGGCACACATAACTATATCAAAATTTTCACAATTTCATTATAAATATTTTAAAAAAAAACTCACTATTATAAGTTTTAAGATCACTCCAACATCAAATATATATTTCAGTCACTCCAACATCATAGCATTCAAATCTACGAAAGATATGAAAATCCAAAAACCATGAAATCAAACACAAACCCTAAGAAAACTAGCACAAAACCTACATGGTTTGTTTATTGTTCCATACTACTCTATATATTACTATATGAAAATCCAATTGGCCCTTAATTGTTATTATTACCCATATAGTATTTGATTTTGTTGTCATTTAGAAGGAAAATTCTGTTCCTTGTCTGGTTGGCTATGGAGAAACCTAGGAGAAATCAACTGGAAGGGTGTAATAGATTGGGTTACCGATGAAAATGGAGGAAAGTTGAGAGAATTAAGCAAGAAGCTTTGTTGTTGTGCACCTGAGCTCGCCATCTGAAAATGGTTTACTTGTTGTCTAGGATCCACCGGATGAGGCGGGAGCAAAGGCGGTGTTCTGCCTCCTAGCGGTGGTGGACATAGAGATAATGGCAATGGCGGCGCCACGGCATTGAAATTATGTGCTTCTTCTGAATGGGGCCCATGTAGTATGAATCCATGACTTCCTAAATGTGATGATGATAAAGGAAAACTGGAAGGTTCCAAATGGTGATATGAATGAGACGATGATGCTGCATTGTTCAAAGTTTGCGCAGCATCATCGCCTTCATTTCCTCCACATTTTTCTTGTTTATCATCAATTGCAACCCTTGCGATTTCTTTCGATTTAGCCGTCAAAAACGCATCGGAATTCAGAAAGCAGGCCTGCGGCAGCATCGGCAACGGTGGGAGTTCAACGATATCGTGCTTAGCAGCATCAAGCAACCAATCAATGACCTTGCTAGGTTGATTAAGACCAAGCCTGTCTTGAAGATCATACAATTGAATTGCAGTGGGAACCGACAGCCTTACCCTTCGGTCTCTCAATCCTCGTATGGTGTAAACTTTGCTGTGCCTGTCTTTTCCCCCAAAAGCACGCGAAACACGTACGATCCTCGGATCTTTCAATCTCAACCATGGCGACGGCGACGCTGAAGAACTTGATGGAGCTTTGTTGATCAGCTTGGTTTCATTTCTCCTGTTGTTGTCGTCGTCGTCGTGGTGTTTTGTCGGAGAATCTGCGTTTTCTGAACTCGGAATCATCTTATTTCTCTCATCATTGAAGCATCAGAAGCTGAAAAACCAGATGAATTCAATCCCTTTTTTGTTGCAAAAAGCTTCCAAATTTTATGAAAAAGAAAGAACAACAACGAACACATAAAGTTCATAAATTAATGATAAAAGTAAAGAAATCCCATTTTTCCTGGAAAAACTAGGAAAGTTTCTAAAGAAAAAATTGTTGCACTAACTACATATGCCACAAACTTGAGAACAAGAACAAACCCTAAATTTTATCATATAGAAAGCTATGAAGATGTGAGGCAGATCTCATAGTAATACTCAAAAAGGATCTGGGTTTTTACAGAAAATGGAGAAGAAAGACCAGATTCTTTGAAATAATCAACGTTTCAAGCAAAAAAAAAAAAATCATTGGGTATACTAGAGAAAAATTTGAAAAGAAGTAAACTTACAAAAAATATCGAACACTTGAAAGGAAAGCACCTTTAAACTTTGGTTATGGACTCACCCAGACCAACCTGGACATTAATATATATACATATATATTTATATTGAGAGATTGCAATTTTTTTGTTTTAATTGTGAGAAAGATAGAACTTAATGGTGAAGTTAATCCATTTGTGAAAAGAAAGATGCTGGAATTGTACCAACCATAGTCCATTGAAGAATTGAAGAGGGAAAAAGAAAGGAAAAAAAAGAAAAAGAAAAGCAATGGTAGTAGGGATTCCACGTGGTCCATATCGTCAACAATTTTTTTATGAATAGCATGTCGTCAACAGTTAAATAATGAATAATGAAACAAACGTAAAAATAAAAATAAGGGTAAATTATCTCAACATTATCTTTTATATAATAATACTTTTATTTTTATTAATTATAATAATAAATTTTAGTTATGTAATTCCATCATTTAATCAATAACAGGACGATGTCATAACTAATGGTTGTTGATGTGGCCTACCACACCAAAATAACGTTATTTTGACGACTACTATTGATGTCCAAAACGATATCATTTTAAGCACTAAAATTTAAGGTGTAACAATTTTGTCACTGAACTTTTAAATAATATTTTTTGTACTACACTTCTCGACCGTCGTCAGTAGTTAATCACTGCGTGTCACCAATCATCTTTTGCGACAAGATTAGTACCAAAATGTTCTCATTTCATTTCTCACTCTTCTCCTAAAATTGTTTTTTATTTATTTATGAAATCGCTCAAAATCTACAAAAAATCATTTAAAAGTTTGACGTATTAATACTTTGAACTCTTTAAATGATTGTCTGAAGAGGCTAGTCTTGAGATATGTTGTTCGTATTCTCAAAATAATGTTTCTCACCATCTGGATTTTCAAACAAACACATCAAATTCGGTAAATTTAAGAAAGCATCTAAACATCTTTAAAAAACGGTAGATGTTTATTGTTTAATTTCATCGATTTTGGGTGAGTTTCGTGAAAAAAATATTCTATGAGAAGAAAGAGGGGTGAAATGTGAACCTTTTGGTATTGATTTTACCGAAAGATAATCGTTGATAGGTAGTGATTGGTTATCAACGTCAATCGGAAAGTGTAGTGTAAAAGTAAACTATTTAAAAGTTCAGTGGCAGAATTAATACATACACCCTTAAAGTTCAATATCTAAAACAACTTCATTTTGGCGTGACATGCCACATCAACAACCATTAACTATGTCATCGTCTCTTTACTGACTTAACAAAAAAGTGACATAATTTAAAGTAAAACTAAAATTCAGTGTTATAATTGACAAAATTGACAGTACAATAGTATAAACGAGTCAACGGATAAAGTTTAGTATGACATATTAAACCCAAGTTTGGGTAACGATGTGATCCCTCACTTTTTATTTTTATTAATATGGTGTAAGTATAAGACAATATATTTTCAAATATAATTTTCAACCATTTGACATTGAACGCTCATACCCTGACATTCTTGATGCTCAAACCCAAGACCTCAAAAAATAATAACAATTCCTTTACCACCTTGGTCGGTTGGTTCGTAGATTTCCTCTCTTCTTAACACAAAAACAATGGGGACCATGCATGGCTGCAGCACATTTCAAAAAGTGAAGAGGTATGCTTTATCGACAACTACAAAAGGCATTTGTGAGCTGAATCCCTATCATATGGGGTTGATCAATGCACGCCTAATACTAGCACACGACATGTTCCTAACAACAAGTGGTATGTATAATCACATGGTACATTACATTCTCAAACAGAGAATTCAGATTCAAACCTCAAACAAATATTATTGGAAGGGATAGTCACAAACCCTGAACATAGGAAAGAAGTTTTTGTAACACAATTTTTTTGTTAGATTTTGTTGCTTTGTCCCTGCTATCGAATCTAAACCGATTGCCAACAAAATTATACATGACTTAATATAAAGTTAGGGACAGACGAAATTTTTTATGTTAAGAGACGAACTTCTAAAATTCTAAGAGGGTGAAAACAAATTATCAATAAAAATACTTTGAAATTTTTTTAAAATATATGATATTTTAAAATTTTCAAGGCGACTGCCTCCAACCACTCTCTTAGTCCATACCTGTATAGAGGGGATAACAACAACCGGAGAGGATAAGAGTGCACAATCTACCAAAGATAAGTGTGATTGTGAATTTGATAGTTACTTGAGGCATTAACAACACAACCTTATAGGGTTGGGACCAATCTCTAAATCTGCTTTAGAAACATCAAGTAGTGATTGAAAAGAGGACCACACAAGAAACAGCTTTATGTGAAGAAAGAATATGCATGGATAGAAGACAAGTTGAAGTTTCTTTAAACCTAACAGTTGGGAGAAAATGAAAAAGAAATATATCAAATCTTCCTTCTCTCAATTCATTGAAACAAAAATGCAACTTCGTTTGCTCATCTTGGAAAGAAATAAGAAAAGGAAGTTTTCACTCTTTCAAATGATTAGCTCTTAAAACTCCATTTATCTGGTTTGAGAAAGTCGGAGGTGCTGGTGCTTCTATCTTCAAATACTTTCTATATACATAAAAACCTGGCATTCATGATATTCGAATCCAAACCTTAAAGAATAACAATAATTTATTTATTATTGAGGTCGTATTGTTCGTGCTACGTAAAATATTTTGAATGCATCCTACTGAGAATTCCACAATCACTTCAGAATCATGAGTTTTTATGTATGTATATGCAAAAGTTTCTCCTACTTTTGATCAGGTAAAATATGGGCAATGCAGTCTCTCCCAGAGAAGTAGAAACCCTAGGGCTAGAAAGGAATCAAAGCACTTTACATGAAAACAAAGAAATTTTAGGGTCCCCCCCCCCCAAAAAAAAAAAAACAACCACCACCTCCATGCTGGAAAAATTGACCTTAAAATCTATGGTTTTTATGTATGTGAATAATATGATTTGCCTCTGAGATGAGATTTGCAGCATTCAAACTGTCAGATTGATATCAGTAAATCAATGTGATGGCAGAAAATTGAAAGGTTAACTTGTCGGAACTGTGATAATACAAGTTATGACATACCTTTTTTCCCAAGAAAAAAAAACTATCTGCATAATTACTGGTTTAAACATGAACATGAAGGAGTCGTTTGATGATGAAGTTTTAAAGTGTGTGTGTATATCAGAAGAGCTGATTATATGGCTTTTCTTTAAGTTTTTCCTTGATGAGCTGCTTGTTTGGCAGGGGAGAAAATCAGGAAAGAAACTTTTTTGTTTCTTTTAGGGTTGAGAGTATTTGTTTTTTATTTGAAGTGTTAGAACAAGCAGTGGTGGGCATCTCAAGATGATGAAACAGAACAGTGGAAAGGTTTCTTCACAAACTGCACAGTTTCTGATTCTCCACAAACAAAGCAATGGTACCATTATTGTCACATAAATGGTCCCCAAACTCCACATATTATACAATTTTATTTATTTATTAAACCCTACCTTTCTGATTTAAATCCCAATAAATTTTCTGATAATTTCTTTATCTTTGAGTTTTCAACGAAAAGTTACTGTTAATGATTTACTTATCTGGATGTGCTGTGTTGTATCATTTTCAAGGTTGTTTCATCATGCATACTTATTAGTTAGTACAAAACTTTGGGTTGAGTTAATTAAAATAATAAATATTTCTATTTTTTATATATTCTATATAATCTTTAAATAAAATAATTTTAAAAGTAATTATGATACGGATCTCTTAACTTTCTTTTTTTCGAACTTTTTCTCTATTAATCAATATTAATTTCAATGGCATAACTAGTTAAGGTTAGGTATAGCTTCAAAAAATAAAATTTAGGTAATAAAATAAAAGTAATAGTTTAAATGCTAAACATGTAATTTATCCTAAAATTAATAGTGAATAAAGATGAATTTATTAACGATAGAAATATATGAAGTAAATTAACACATTAATTTATGTGTCAATAAACTATTTGTGGGGGCACCAGAAGGATACCAAAAGGGTCAAAAGTATTCTATTATTAAATTAAGCTGTCATTGGCATCCAAAAGGTTTATCAAATTACCTATATAAATAAATAAATTAAAGTGATATTATCGAGGGTGGATGTATGTATATTTCAGGGTAGATAAGTGTTTATCTTGAAATATATATTTTTTATGTTGAAATTTCAACAAATTATTCGGTGCATTAATGCACCGAATGTGCAAGTGGAATTGTGGAGTCAAAAGTAGCTGCAAATTGTTGAAATAATAAAGGCATAACTACCAAATTGAGTCCCTAAACTTTAGGGTATTTACAAGATTAGTCCTCAAGTTTCAACTATAAATACCCTAGCTCATTTAGCTTCAAAATCATCCCAAAGCATTCTAGCTTTCTTCCAATACTAGAGAGATTTTAGAGAGTTTCTTGAGAGTTGTTTTCTCCTTTTTACCTAGAGAGAATTATCATTGTTTTCTCCTTGGTAGATCGAGAGAGGTTGTAATTCATATTTTCTCATAGTGAAATTCTTCTACCGTTGCCCGTGGTTTTTACCCTAAATATTTTAGGGGTTTTCCACGTAAATTTTGTGTCTCTTTTATCTTCATTTTTATTTTCTCAAATTATCAGTTGCGATTTTGCTCTATCCGATAATCGTCTTTCGCAACAATTGGTATCAGAGCTAGATTAGAGTGTGTAATATATGCTTATTGTCTTTGTGGTTGCCACCAAAAGGTGGATCCTCCAACATAAGAAAATAAGAAGTTATTACCCATTCTTTGAAGGTTCTAGGGAACTATTCACGATAGTGAAATAGTGGGAGCTATCCGTAGAAGAAGCTATGGCAACGAAATTTGATATTGAAAAATTCAATGGGAGAAATTTCTCATTGTGGAAATTGAAGATGAAAGCCATCCTAAGGAAAGACGGGTGTCTAGCGGCTATCAATGAAAGGCCGGTGGATTTCGTAGATGACATCAAATGGAACGAGATGGACGGGAATGCTATGGCAAACTTTCATCTAGCATTAGCAGATGAAGTATTGTCAAGCATCGAGGAGAAAAAGACAGCTAAAGAGATATGGGATCATCTCATCAAATTGTACGAGGCCACATCGCTGCACAATAAAATTTTCCTTAAGAGGAAATTGTACACTCTCCGTATGCCAGAATCTACTTCAGTGACGGAGCACTTAAATACACTGAACACCTTATTTTCTCAGCTTACATCCTTAAGCTGTAAAATAGGAGAACAAGAACGTGCTGAACTTCTACTTCAAAGTCTACCGGATTCG